GAGAGGAGATATTTCTGCATTTTGTAATGCTGATATTTCTTTGAAATGTATAGCATCGATTTTCAAACGATAGCCAATAGCCAAAACAGATTGGACACACTGTTTTATTTAGGAAATGTGGGCAGAGAGATAGAGTACATATTATGAAAAAAAAAAAACTATTTTCTTAGTTGATTTCCACTTGCATATTATTTCTCTGACAATTCTATAAAAATGAAGGGATAATGCTTTAGTGACTTTTGTTAAAGTTAGAAAGAAAACCTTATTAGCATGCATATGGGAGTAAATGTATCATTTATGCCAGTATACATTTTACTGCTTCTTATTTTTAAAATATCCTGTCTTTTAGTAATTCATCCTTCTTCGAGTTGAGTGTATGCTTGCCTGAAACATAATTTCAGTGTACAAACAATGGGATGGCACATATAGAAGTAATAATGTTTTTCTATTTAAGATATAGTTTCCAGTGATAACATTTGAATCTTTTCTTACAGAGGTGCTTCTGGTTTTCTATTTTATGTCTATTTTATAGGTGTATAATATGGACTAGTTTGTGCTATTCTTTGGATCCATATATATTTGACCCATTTGTGATTTAACTTACTATGACAAGTTTTCAAAATTGACTTGAGTTGTTTATAGCCCTCCAGATCAGAGAATCTAAAAACTTAGTTTGTTAAAAAAAATTGACTTAAAATCATTTTGAAGTTCATATATTTCAGATTATACATAATAATTTGCATATGCTTACAAATAGATTTGCCTATTTTCAAATGTGCAAATCAGCATAGACCAAAAGTAAAGACATTGCACCCACTTCTTCCCATAATTTCTTTATCTTTGTGAAGTGACTGCTTGCTTTCGACACTTCTGTAAAATGTTAAAAGTTGAATGTGCCTCTCCCTTTTCTATAACCCTTTTTATCTTTTCTATCACCTCCCTCTTCCTGTTGTAGGCTCAATGTAGAGGAGGGAGAGAGATTTACCCCAGCAGAAAGAATTCTTCTTTATTGCCCTTTTCACCACATTTTTAATGTTGTTTTAAGAGAAATGCAGTCTGACTTCATGTTAATTAATAAACACTTATTGAAGTAAAATTCACATGTAGTGTTATTTTTAAAATAAAAATTTACACACCAAACACTGAGGGATGAATGGAACTGATTTATGCTTTAGAAAGACTGCTCTGGCTGTTTTGAGAGTAAAAGCAGGAAACCCAATCAGCACAGAATCTAGGCTTCAGCATGAGGTTCAGAGGTGGGAAATTGAGGTAGACCTTTTAAAATTAAAGGCCACATACCATCTCTGTCTTATACTGGGAAAATTAAGTCCGTGAATAACTAGTGCTGTCTGGGCATATCTATTAGGTAAGTATTGGGATCGCTGGAGGTAGTTTCTGTGCATGAAGCACCTGCCTTGAGATTATGACATCCAGATGCCTTAGCTGATCTGGGACAAAAATCTCTAGTTTGATTTTATGACATCCACTTGTCATTGCAGTAGAATTGAGGTCTGCAGTGGGCTAAATGGATGGGTAGGGCTTCCTAAGTAGTTTGGACTCCACGGTATAGATCTGCCCCTTTTGCAAATGTTTGCCACTTCATCTGAACAAGTCAAAGTTCTATTCAAGAGTGCGGAGTAGTATCTCAGCACCTCCATGGATTCTGAAAGGTGAATTTTGATGCCATAGGCTTTTACAGCATAAATTTACCTCAAAGTTTTTGTATGTATGTATTATAAATTCCAATTCATAAGCATTAGGAAATTTCTATGTATATCTAAGCGTCTATCAGTTTTCTACCCATGTCTGTCATATCCCTTTCCTATGATCCCTTGCCACTAGGGGAAAATACTGTTAATATTCATATTAATAGTTGCAACCCCTTTCTGCCCAGATTAGCAGGAATTCCAATGTTTCTCTGGGATTCTCCCTTTTGAAGTTTCTTGGTGTCCTTCCCTATTAACCCACCTCAGTGGGGACCATCTCATTGCATTAGTGAAGCTGCAGTAACAGCTGTAATTGCTCTAAAGGGAAGAGGGCAGGAACTCCATCACATTCTGCCCTAAGTGCTCCTTGGCTCTGCATGGCAGAAGTATGAGATGGGCAGCCTTAAATAAAAATCTGTCACACTCTTTCCCCAGAGCATTAATTGACTTTTTCCTTTAGGTTTATGAAACTAACAAGGACCACTCAAGAGCTTCTTTTTAGAAGGAAAAAGGCCCTATTTAAAAGGAGACCTGCTGCCTCCATTTTTCGGCAGAGAAGTAGCTGACAAGTTTTAAGTGGTGGCTTAAAAAAGATTTAAAATATTGCTTAACTGGAGATTTTGTAACTACATATACACATGACATACACATCTATATTATGAATGTGTCTCTTATCTACACATACGCAAGTCATAACTTCTAATGATATTAGTAGTATTCAACAGAAATTTCTTACTTTTAAAATTTATTTATTTATGAATTATTTATTTTATTTTATTTTTAAAGAACTCAGTCTCACTATGTTGCCCAGGCAGGCCTCAAACTCCTGGGCTCAAGGTATCCTCCTGCCTCAGCCTTCCAAGTTGCTGAGACTACAGGTGTGAGCCACTGCAATTCTAAGAAATTTCTATTTTTAGTTGTTCATACATTTGAATTTGCTTTGGATAAGTTTAATTTTTAAAATGTGAGACTTCTCACCCACTTTGGACATAGATTTGATGAAATAACTCACTTGTATGTATGTATATATATCAGTTTAATATGTAACTGTTAAAATGTCCTGGTTAGATTTATATGATGTGAATATTTTAAAATATTAAACATATGAAAATATTAATTTGCATCTTCATATTTAATTATGGAAGTGTTTATAATAATTTATTTCTTATGTTAAATTATTGAAGGTAAGAAGCATAAATTACCCTAAATTAGCATATATTTGAAATTTAGCTGTATTATAGAACAAATAGTCCTTTCTCTTCACAAAGAAACTTGTATTAGTGAACTAAAATGATAAAAACATATATCTGTGATCTTACTTGTAACATGTAATTTCTAAAGACCAATTTTAGATATATTGTCTTTACAAATGACATTAAATTAAACCTCAATCATCTGTTTCCTGTCACTTCCTATTATTTTCTACTTGTTCATCAATCCTTGGGGGAAATCAGAGCCTGTTTGGCTCTTTCTAATCTGCATAATGCTCAGTGAGGTCTTGGTCAGGAGGTGCCTCCCATCCCCACCACACTGAGGATTTCACCTATCTCAGGCCCACTGATAATTCCTCCAGATCCTGCCGCTGTGCAGTAGAGTGAATTTGACTCTTAAAAAATATTTTTTAAAATCAAATTCTACTGTTATTTTAAATGTTTAAATCTACTTTCATGTTATACATTTTGAAATGTAGTCTTTTAAAAATGGTTGTTCATAATTTTATGCCTTATCAATTAAAGTTTCATATAGGTAAAGTGTTAACCCTTGTTCCAGGATTTTCACCTTGGTAAATAAAGACTACTTTGTAATAGTCTGGGGGATTTTATTTGCACACATTTCTAATTACAGAGACTTATTGTTTGCAACAGTACAACAGAAAGAATGAAGGTACCATGTGTTCACCTATTCACCTTATTTTGATGAAAAAACTTCTTTTTCACAATGAAATAATGTTTTTATCTATCTTTTTTAAATGTAGCAATTGTCCTATAAATGAATGAATGATCTTTTGTAAAATTACAGAAATTTATAAAGTGTAAAATGAAAGTCTCCCCCACCAAAACTATTACCCAAAGATAATTGCTGGTAATAACATTTTCTAGGCATATTCATATATATGTGTGTAGATATGTGTACATATGTACATGCTCAACAATATAAATAAATGCTTCTTTTTCTCTAATATGACTGACACATACTCCCTTTTTTTTAAAACAAGTAATAGTCTGTAATATTAGTAATATTCTTGTTTTATTATCTACTGTGTCATGGACCTCTTTACATGTCATTATGTAGAAGGTGACCACTTTTAATGCCTTTGTTAGGCTTTGGGGATTTAATACTCCTATTTTAGGTATTAAACAAATTCATAAATAGACTCAGGAACCTGGGAAGAATTAAAATTCAGCCTCTGCTTTACTAATGATAAGGCTAAATTTGAGAAGAGCATTTGACATGAGGCTAAAATAGTCCCTGAATTGATACTATCCACCCAGACTACGTGAAGTGAATGAAGTGCTGCATGTCTTTCTTGGAGGACAGCAAACCACTGCCCTGGTAGAGAATAGCAAGCCAACCAGAGAGAAAGAAAGAGGAGAGACAAGTAGAGAGCGGAGAGAGAGGAGAGAGAGAGGGGGAGAGAGAGAGAGAGAGAGAGAGAGAGAGAGAGAGAGAGAGAGAGAGAGAGAGAGAGAGATAAGGGTGGAGACTGGGCTTTATACAGATGATGACCTTACACAGTTGCACCAATGCACATGTCCATGTCTTGATCATCTAATAAGGAAGAGCAAGTGAGTGGCAGAGAGAAGGAGGAAAGCTTCTTCCTGGGAGGACAGAGGCATCCAGAAGAGTTTCCTCTTCACAGAGTACAGTTTTACCACATCTTACATAATAGTTATATGTAACTACTGATGGACATTTAGGTTTCTTCCAATTCCTATTATAATGAGCATTGCTGCCCTGCAGTTAACGTTCCTGTACACAGCGTTTTGCATATTTCTGCTAGTAATACTGAATATGAACTCCTAGAATTAGAATTATTGAAAAAAGAAACATTTAATTTTCCCCCAGATATTTCCTAATAGTTAAAAAGAAGTTTGAGCCTACATTGTATCCAAAGATGAATTAATATGCCATTTTCTTGCATCTTCACTTTTATTAATCCATGTTAGCCCGATAGATTTTTTTAAAAATCTCATTTAAAAAATCTGTTAATTATTAGTGAAGTTAAATATATTTCTGTCGGTTTATTGTTCACTTGCATTTTATAATAATTCACCCATTCATATCTTTACCCAGTTAGCTGTGTTCATCTTTCTTACTGAATTGAAAACATTCCTATGGGGTAAGTGTGTTTAAATGACCAGTTATATAAAAATGTAATACATTTCTCCCTAAGTTTGTCCTTTGACTTATACATTTTGGTATATAGCAGTTAAATTTCTACTTAATCACCTCTGTACTTAAAAAAAAATAGTTTCTGAGTTTTTTTTAATCAGGAAAAACAAAATTTTCACATTGTAAGAATATATTTGTCCTCTAGTATATTTATTTTTTACAGTAAAATTTTTCATGCATATAGAATTTATGTTTGTGATTGTGTTGAGAGTATAAAAGTTTATATTAATACTATAAAAATTAATTCATTTATTTTCATTATAAAACTTTAAAAAGTTTTATATACTTAATAACTAAACTTAACTATTTTTTTTAAAGCTCAATAAATTAACCTGGAGGTTGAGATATTCTATGGCACCTTATATGGAACTTAAACTATAACTGCTTATGGACTCTATATTATGTATTCCTGTGGCAGAAAATACCAAAAAGAAAACTGTGCCATTGACAGCTTATATATCGGAGACCTTAAAAATACTGAAGATGATTATTCCATTTGGATATTTTCTGATTAAAGAACAAAGTATCTAGGCATGTCTGTAAGTAATTAACTCATGTAATCTCGATTCAGCAAGCATGTTTGATTCATCTCATATTGAAATTAACTCTCAAATCCCTAGGCTTCACAACTTAAAACAGTGCAGGTGGGATGGAGTGATAAGGCAAATAACTGAAAAAACAATTCAGGTAGTAGGAATGTGGATAGTAGTCACTCATTTTGAGGATGCAATTGTGCAATTATGAATAATAAATATTTGTTTTTGAGAAATACATATGGTCTTAAATAGAAAATTGAGTGCCTCTTAGTCTAGTCAGTTGAGACATCATATGTGCCTTATTGTCACAATAATTATTACATATTTGTAGATTTTATGGTTAGGATAGTTTGAATAATGTAATGTGAGAAATACAGTCTAGCTCTGATCCCCAGGCTCAGTCTGACTGCTAAAGATGGAGTCTTGAATATGCTCATGGAATCATGACGGATGATCATCTGTAGATGAGAACAGTCTCTTTGTCTCAAGTTTAAAAGTCATAAATGTTTTCTGAAGTAGTCCATAGATAACTAAGTAAGTTTGATCTCTTGCAAAATAGGCTTCTTGAGAATTTATGAAACTTCCTTGCCTAGATAGAGAAATAATAGATTCCAGAGGGATAGAGATATTTATCCATTCATGGATTCAGGGAGGCGGTAGAATTCAGACGTTAAGAGTAGGGATCAAATCCCTACTCTGCCTCTTACCACGTGAATGTGAGTAAGATACCCTCTTTGTGCTTCAAGGTTTTATTTATTGAATGAAGATATCTTAGGGTTAGTATTAATGAATTAATATATGAAAAGGTCTGGGAATAGTGCTTGGCTCATTCTTAACTCCACAGTAAGAGCTCAGTAAATGCTAGCTATAAATGCTATTAGTCCTTCAATCAATAAACTTTCCTCTAGTACCTGCTTTGGGACCACACAGGAGTTTAGTACCTCACAGGAACCGGGAACAATTGGTAGTCAGTTACATAGAGTGTCTTCAGCCATGTAAAGCGTTCTGCTGTGAAAGAACCACCTTCTCTTTGCTTTGGAGGGCACTGGCTTGCTTCACTCAAGAAAAGCAGAGAAAACCAGAAAGTTCTGGCAGCCTGAGGAACTGGCACACCAAATTCTTTCATATACTTGAAGAATGATTAATTTCTGGTAAGAACTATATGGGCATGGGTGTGGGGAGAAACTAAGATTTATCAAATACCTACGATGTATCAGACATTGGTAAACATTTATATTTGCTCATTCAATTAATGAAAATGAAAGGAGGAAGAAATGACTCTACTTGTTGCAAGGCTAACCCCATTTGTTTGTTTTCTCTGGTCCCACATCATCTCATTGTGTCTGGCAGACTGACCGTCCTTCTTTCTTGTACTTTGCTTTATCTCTATGTATTCCCGTTTGTGCTTATTCCTTTATCCTTGCTTGAAGAGGTCTTTCTACAATTCTTCTATTCTCTTGACATACCTTTCCAGCATTCCTCTCTCTGTTTCTAAACAACTCGGAAGAGGAGTTTTTTTCCTCTGCCTTATAGTTCTTACTACTTAGTCATTGCTCAACCCCTTAAATGACTTTTGCCTCAATCAGACTCTGCAGACTCTGTCTCAATCAGCTCTGCCTGAAATCTGCTATGCAGTAACTGCCCCCTGAGATATGTCAACCATATATTGTAAATGTTCCAGAACTTTTTATTTCATTTGAGTCTCTTTAATTTTAAAAATACAGTTAATTAAGTAAAGGTAGAAAATGGTAATAATGATCCATAGTTATTCAAATCACTGGCCTTCTATCATCTTCAACCTCTCTGTAATATTTGACATTATGTAATTGATTTGGAAAGCCATATTTTCCCTGGCTTTTCTGAACTCTTTGAGTTTTACTTCTCCTCTCAGACTATTAATTGTGTTCTTTTTTAAAATCACTACCTCTCTCTGCCTTTGCCACATATGTTTCCTTAGAGGGAACATACTTAACTTATTTAACTTCTAACTTCTTTTCCTACCGTTTCTTTCTGGGTAGCTTCAGTAGTGTGTATATATACCTACCTCTGTGTCAGTGACTACAAATTTTGTATTTCTACAATTAGCACCTATTTAAATTCAGACCCTGAATTTCCAAATAGCCATTGAACATCATGTTCCCCTGACTTCTCCAATTCCACATTCAATGGTATGTATTCATTTGAGAACCTACTATCTGCCAAGAAATCTAGGAACTGAGAAATGTAGACATATACAACACTGAGTTTTTGCTTTAAAGAGCTTACTGAGGGGTAGAGCAGAACATGAAAAAAGTTAATTTCACTTGCTATTGGATGCTATCAAGAACATGAAACAGGACATTGTTTTGGAGAATGGTTATTGGTTTGGTTTTTGTTGATAAGGCAGTCTCTGAGGAGATAAGAAAGATCCAGTCATGTGAACTTATTGTGGGAGGAGCTTTCTAAGAAGAAGCAAACGTAATTGCAAAGGCCCTGGTGTAGGACAGAGTGGTGCATTTGAAGAGCAGAGGAATAAGGCCATTGGGATAGAGTATGATGACTGGGGTGGGGTGAGGTGGGGATCATGCAGATCGTGGAGAGCTTTGTGGAGCATAATAAGGAGTTTCTTTTTCACTCTTGGAAGGTGTTGGGGAGTTTTAAGCATGGAGGTGACATGATCTAATGTGTGCATCAGAAAGATAATGCTGACTCCTATGTGGAGGAGGCATTGTAGGGTAAGCATGGAGGCAGACAAACTTCCACAGAGTGGAGGCTGCTGAATTATCCAGTAGAAGTTGATTTGCATGAACTCTGTGGTGAAAATTATGAGGAATTATAAGACTCAGGATATATTTTGGAAATAGTTCTGAAAGAATCTAGCATTGGATTGAATATTGGGTGTGAGGGAAAGGCAAGAATGCAAGATGTGTTCTACTTCATTTGCCAGAGCCCAGAACGTTGGCTCCATTTACTGAATGAAGAAGACTGGGGTACACGGGAGGTTGTCTGCCATTAGATAGTCAAGCCAAGATGCTGAGTAGGTAATTGGACAGACAGAAAAGAGATCTGGGTAAGAGATACAAGTTTAATATATAACTTTTAATATAGATAGTAAGTAAAACCACAGAAATGGTTGACGTCACCAAGTGTGAGAGGATGGATAAAGAAAAGAAAGATAACAGAAGTGTGCCTCTGCAATGTCCAGTGGCTGAGTAAAGGAAGAATCAACTAAAGAAGCTGAAAAGGAATAGGTGGTTGTTGAGGCACAAAACTCAGAGAAGAAAATATGTAAGGAGGGAATGATGAAGCCTGTTAGATATTGCTGTTGATTAAAGTGGGAAGACAATGGAAAATTACCACTGGTCTTGACTAGATGTTGGTTTTTAGTGACCTTAAGAAGAACCCTTTGGGTAGTGTGGTGAGGATGAAAATCTGATTAAGTTGAGGGAAATGGGAAAAAGTAGAGAGGAAGAAGTATAGACAACTTTTTCAGAATGTTAAGGTAAGCAGAGTAGAGAGGTAAACAGAGTAGGGGCTGAGTGGTCAGGGGAGGGTTTCTTAAAGTGAATTACATTAAGGCATGTTTGCATGCAAAATAGAAACAATCAGATAAAGGAAGACAAACTGATGTTGTAAAAGATCAGTCATATAATTAATTGCAGGAGAATAGACAGTTCATCTGATGTAACAGGAAAAAATGGAGTTTGTGAGCACACATGCAGGTGTGCTTGTAAAATGGGTGGAAAGAAGATGATATAGTTCTCATTTGGTTACCCGTTTTAGCTAGGAACAGAAAAACCCATTCAATACTTATTTGTGGCACAATTACCAGTTGGGAAGAAAGAATTAAAGAAGACATACATGAACACACTTCTGATTAGCTTGGTTTTATAGGTTTTACATTTTATAATCAGAATTTACCTTTATAACATTTAGCATAATATTTATAATATCACCTTAAAAATATTTAGTTTTAGTAATAACAAACATTTCATGTTGCTTATTGTGTACTAGCCACAGGCTTGAGCACTTTTACATATGTTATTTCATTTAATCTTTAAAACAACCCCATTTACAGGTTCTATTATTATCTCATTGTGGAAATGAGGAAAGAGGTACATAAGGGTTAAGTAAATTCCCAAGGTATGCCATGCTATACCAGCTTTCATCAAAGTAGATATAAAAGTATGTAGTATCTTTGTAATGTAGGATTTTGTTATTTGTTATTTGCAACATTTTTAGTAATAATAGACAAAACTCTACTTCCCGTTCCTGTTTCTATTTCGAAGTTGAGTGTAAACAATATTTAAAAATATACGACTGTAATGTTTTATCAAAATACCTGTGATTTTGCATATTGAAAGTCCCAGGTATTGCTAAACTCACTGTAATTTGATGTCTACATTTATAATGGAAGGACATGTTAAATTTTAATAAGAAGTTAGAATAAATAGAGACTTCATCTTTCCTCCATCAAAGGTCATGAATCCCCTCAATTCTATCCACAGATGCCTTAGAAATCCATGGACCTCAGATTCAGACCTCAGTATCTGAGGATGTAGATAGATTCAGGTACCTGACATCACCAGGAACGTATTGTCTCCTCATTCCACTCTCAGCAAAGGGCTTTGAGGTAAAGGTATAAAGTTATAGTTTTCCCTTTTTAACCGCAAACAATCTGTGAGCACCTTGCAAATATTATCTTCTTTCTTTTTTGTTTTTTTCTTTTCTTTTTTTGACATGGTGTCTCCCTCTGTTGCCAGGCCGGAGTGCAGTAGTGGCATCTTGGCTTACTGCAACTTCCGACTCCCTGGTTCAAGTGATTCTCCTGCCTTAGCATCCTGAGTAGCTGGGATTACAGGTGTGCGCCACCATTCCCAGCTAATTTTTGTATTTTAGTAGAGATGGGGTTTCAGCATATTGGCCTGACTGGTCTTGAACTCCTGACCTCGTGATCTACCCACCTCAGCCTCGCAAAGTGCTGGGATTGAGAGGGGAGATCCCCTCACCTCCTTCAATTTCACCTCCTCCCTCCCACCTCTTCCAAATAGGAAGGAGGGTGAAGAAGAAAAATAAAATAAAATGCCAAAGAGCTGGGAAAATGACTCCCTTTTTAGTTCGCAGCATCTCTCCTATCTGTTAACCTTGAAAGAGCTGCAGTTGAATGTTATCTCTGTTGGCTAGAGCCCAGACCTGTTCATGCTCCCAGGTCTCCATGGACCAGGCTCCCTCCTGGAAACACCTCTGCCAACAAACAACTTGTTGCTTTTGTCTTTTCTCTGTGAGCCCCCTCCCCTGCTGACCCCCACTCACACTGCATTTGAATTAGCAGATGAATGAAGCCAAAAGATTGTAAGTTTGGACATCCAGCAAATGGACAAAGACATAGTTCCCCCTCAGTTTCCCCTTTAGCGTTGTAAACCTATAAAAGAGAAGAGAAGCTGTAGCTCCGGGAGCTCAGTGAATGAGATTGTAGCTCCCCACAGGCTGAATAAAAAGCCACTTCCTTCCTCAGTTCAATGTTAGAGATGTTTGTTCCCCACTGCTCCTGCTTCTGGATTACAGGCATGAGCCACTGCGCCCGTCCACAAATATTCATTTTTCATAACAACTTTTAACCTACTGGTTTTAGTACCCATTGATGATTCTTTTTATCCATTTGCCTTGAAGATGAGGTAAGTATTTATTTTAAAAATTCTGTTAAAGTCATCTAAAATTCATCTGTCCCAGGAATGTTCATGGTCATTGGGGACAATGATAGGAGGGTAAGGTTCAGCTTTTTTTTTTTAATTTTTAATTTTTATGGGTACATAGTAGGTATATATATTTATGACGTAAGGTTCAGCTTTTGAGATAGAAGTAGGGTTGCCAGATAAATTATAGGGTAGCCTGTTAAATTTGAAATTCAGATAAACAGCAAATAATTTTTAGCATAACTCTGTCTCCAGTATTTCATGGGACATACTTATATTGAAAATTATTCATTGTTTCTTTAAAATCCAAATGTTTAAATAAAATTCAAATTCAAAAATGCATCTTACATTTTTATTTGCAAATCTGACAACTCTAGATTGCTAAGGCTAAGAGAGTTAACATGAATGTTAGTGATTGGAAATACCTATATATAACTTTACCAGGGTAAATTATTAATAGATTTAAAAATACCATCAGA